ACTTTTGATTATTTTTCAAAAGCTGCGGGACTATTAATATTTTTTGAATTCCGTTGGGACCAAAAATGTCACCCCCCTATACCTGTGGGACTAGTTTTGAAATTTTCCCTCATATATGATGCTATTGAATGTGTGTTACCCTTTTCAAATCAAAACATTACTTAACCTGATGTTACATTTTTATCATTATATATGCTTTCACTTCTTGAGGTAACAGCACATACATACATTAATTAATTAATCACCTAATTAATTAGTGTCAAAGCCTGCATCAAATTCAGAATAATTTTGTCCAAAGAACAGCCTCAATATCAGTCATTAACTGCAGTGCAATTTAGCCTTATATATCCAGAAGCAAAACATACCACAATTAACATATATACTTAATATTAAAACCTAATTAATCACTCTTCAACTACATGAGTTCATACAAGACATAATTAAACGACGCTTAAATTCAGCACAAAAATCATTACAAACCCTTCGATCGAGTTCCCGATTATCGATCTAACGCCGGTTAATTAAACAAAAGGTATATAGCAGAACTTACATGTCACAACAGTCCGTAAGCTCCTCACATGTTCGAAGAGCTGCACAATACAAAAATAATTTTTTTTAAAAATCCACTAAATACAAAACATCTTCCACATAATATCATTCTCCATTTTTTACCTATTCATGAACTTGTGCTGGTCCAAAACGGCGCACAGTAGACTGGACTGAGTCGAGCCGAGTTGTTCGCAAACATTCCAATTCTCGGCAGGAAACCCGAAATTCTGTTGAAAATTCATGTTCATGTTCATAGTGTTCACGTCCCCACCGCATATTTGTTTGATGCACATTTTCTCGCGAGTCCTCTCCCGAGCCCGAGCCCTGGCCCTTGCCCTCGACTCCTTGGCTAAATCCAGAGCATCCTTATTTTTGTTATTTCCCGATTTGCCCTTGGGCGGCCACCCTTCATCGCACGACGAAGCCTCGCGTTCGGAGGGTGCCAGTGCCGAAGGGGTAATGACGGTCTTTTCGCCGTTTGACCGGACGACGAGGTCTTTGATGGCGGCCTTGGACTTGTTGAGGAGCCAATCGAGAGTTTTGCTCGGCTTGTCGAAACCGAGCGTTTCTTGGAGGTCGAAGAATTTCCGGGCGATGCCGATGGAGAGGCGGACCCGGCGGTCGCGTGGTCCCTGCGACGTGTATATCTTGCTGTGACGGTCTTTCTTTGGGGTCGGTTTTCGGGTTGGTGGCGGAGGCGCCGGATGGCCGGCGGTTGGGATGGTGGGGTCCGGCTGGTGGTGGCCGCAGAAGAACTCTGGGTGGTGGCGGTGGTAGTGGCCGGAGAAGAACTCTGGGTGGTGGTGGTGGTGGTGGCCGGAGAAGAACTCCGTGCCGGGGGAGGAGGAGGAGGAGGCATGAGGGAAGTGGAGGAATGTGGTGTTGTTTTTGTTGAACATTTTTTTTTTTTTTTTTTGGTTTGGAAAGGTTTTGAGAAAATGAAAATTCTAGGGTTTGTGGTTGAGGGGTATTGGGTTTTTTTTCTCTTAGGGTTTATTTATTACAAGAAAACTTGGGGAGAGAAGTGGAAGGTTGTGATATCCATGGTGCAAAAGGGGATGTTGAGGAGGTTATTGACTCAAATTAAGCTAGAGATTGTTATTATTTTTTCTTTAGGTGTTTGAAGAAAAGGACTTAACATGAGACTTGAGAGGATTGAAATATGGAGGGGGCCTATAGGCTTTTAGGTAGAGGAAATATGGAGGAAGATAAATAATGATGAAAAATTAAGTAGGGGTATATTTGCTAAGTTTTTATTTTATTTTATTTTATTTTATTTTTGGTTCACTCTCAGAAGTAAAGTTCCAGTACTTGCCATCATTTTCATGTTATATTATCTTGTTTATTCACAAATTCTTGTGTGTCGAATTATTAGTCGTGTTGATCCGTCGTATATTTTTTTTTTTTTT